TGGAAGATCACCTTGAGAATAGCTGCCAAGATGGAAGATGACTTTTCAGCTTGAACCTTTTGTTCTAAGCCCAGCCACCTTCAGCAGATTCTCCTACCCTGTGCTGCCCTGTCCGCTCCACTGAATACCAATCCCTCCTCTCCATTCTGCAGCCATGGGTGGAGGGGGTGGAGCTATCCTGAAAATTTTTCATTTGGAGCTAGACGTGGGTTGAGGAAAGAGGAATCAGATTAACTCACTTGGGTTGCAAAGAAGCCATTCTGTAAGCCCCAGACAAAGGTCCCTGAGAGCTCAATAAGTGTTTTGTGCCTCTCCTAAATGTACCATTGTATGAAGACTTAAACCCTCCACCTGCAATTCAGGAGCCGCCCAGAAGCAAAGAATGCAAAATCTTGCCCCACAGAAGAATGTTTCTTCTGGCCAGACAGTCTCATAGATCATTGCACACTGAATTAGGATTTTTGGAACCCTCTGGTGTGTTCATGATACAAGTAGCTATGTCTTTCCTTCACAGAAAAATTTTAATTTGGAGGTGATAATATTCTTTACAGTATGTTTATATTATTCTCTTAAATATAGACAATTTATTGCATTTAGATGAGTTTGCATTTAGGAAAAGAAATATGTGTATATGTGCTTGTTTATGGCTAAAAATTTCTTGAATAACATGAAGAAAAGTATCAATAGTTTCTTTCCTAGAGAGACTAGTTTCTCCTGCCTCCCCTCCCTCTCTCCCCCCCCACCCCCCCCCCCACCCCCCGCCCCATACTGGGATTTGAGCTCAGTGCTTCATGCTTGCTCAACTTTCTTGCTCACAGTTAGCATTCTACCAATTGGGCTATGTGGCTAAACCAGCTTTGTGCTTATTTTGGAAATGGAGTCTTAAGAACCTTTCTGCCTGCTAGCCTCAAACCTCTATTCTCCAAGTCTCAGCCTCCTGAGTAGCTAGTATTACAGGTGTAATTCTGGGTGCTAGGGTACCCAGCTGAGGGGGATTTTTGATTTGTCAGTTTTCATGCCTAATCTGACTGTACGAGTCTTATTTTTTATATTTTAGAAAAATTAAAAATTAAAAACTTGATTGGCTCGCTTTTGTTTTTTATTTTTTTTTAATTTGTTTTGTTTTTTGGAGTCATGGGGCTTGAACTCAGGCCCTGGGTGCTGTCCCTGAGCTCTTTTGCTCAAGGCCAGCACTTTACCACTTTGAGTCACAGCTCCACTTCTGGTTTTCTGGTGGTTAATTGGAGATAAGAATCTCATGGACTTTCCTGCCTGGGCTTGCTTTGAACCTAGATCTGCAGATCTCAGCCTTCTGAGTAGCTGGGATTACAAGCATTAGCTACTGTGTCTGTCTGGCTTTGTTTTATTAGGGCCACGTGTCTAATGCAGAGGCAGAAGTTGGAAGTTCAATTATGCAGAACAGTAAATAGTTATCCACAAAAACAGCCTCATCCAGAGAGGTACTATTTACAGAGTTAAAGATCCTGTGTGCATTTCTGAGCCTCCGCTTTCACAAAGCTCTGCTGTCTTTGGAGAGACTTGACCCACAGCACCCGGTGGCTCCCTTTTCTGCTCTGCTGTTGTGGTCTGGTGTGTGTGCCTTTCTATACTAACAGGATGTTTGGAAACCCCGGAACCTATTTGATATTAGTAATTAGGCCAGGTCTGCCCTGGCTAGTACCTGGATAAAACTCATGACATATTCTTTCCTTAGACCTCATATCCTTGGACTTGTCCCTCTCAATCATTGTAGTAGTGAGTAATTGATGAGTTCTACGTGTATTCCGCACAATGTCTAGTAGTTGTGCACCACATGCATCCCAATGCCACTGTTTTAGTAGAGCCTGTCCAAAAAGAAAAGGGTCAGATTTCCCAATGGCTTATGGTAGCACAATGTTCCTTTTGCCCTTCAGAAGTAAGTTAGTTCCATGCATGCAGAAGGACAGGAAGGCAGGGAAAGTTGTTAGGTGTAGCAAACCATCATGGCTGGCTCTGATGGCATGTCTCTGATGTGAAGAGTAGCCAGTATTTACAGAGCCTGGGCGAAGAGTGGGCTGTTTGGGTCTCTTGTTTGAATTTTAAATGAGAGCAATGCAGCTCTTCAACTCTCAGATCCCCTAACTGCTATGTCCCCTGGCTCTCCAGGAATTTGTGTGGGCCCATGGGAGATAGAATCAGTGAACTCCTTAACTGCTGCTTAAGAATTTATTCTTTAGTTGAGTTTCTTTAACTGCTCTGAGTATAAACTTAACCCCTCCCCCCCATATTGTTGACAGCTATCCTAACTTGCTATTCATAAATTCATTCATTTCTTCTTAAGTTTCTTTAATGTCCTTCCAATTTAGAAATATTGCCAGAAGCACTGCTGGAAGCATGGCTCAAGTGGTAGAGTGCCAGTTGAGATACATCACCATCCATATGTAACTTTGCATGACTTTCAAAACATTTAATATAGTCATCCCTTGATATCCACAAGGGATTGGCCCCAGAATCCCTGACAGGTACCAAAATTGAAGAGTGCTTCAGACCTTTACGTAACATGGCATAGTATTTGCATATAAGTTACATGCATCATATTTTTTGTGGTAGTGAGGGTTGAAATCAGGGACTTTGACTGTTCTACCCCTTGAGCCATGCCCCCAGACTTTTGCTATTAGATTTTCAGATAAAGTCTGTACAAGCCCAATATAGTGGGATTATGTGTATGTGTGTGTGTGTGTGTGTGTGTGTGTGTGTGTGTGTGTTGTGTGTGTGTTTTCAATCCTCTGTTGAATCTGCTGACGCAGAACACCCAGATAGGAAGGACCTGTTGTACTCACTCCATTCTGGTACAGCACAGCCCTGCAGCATTAGGCTGGTGTCCTTTTTTTGGGGGGGGGCACGGAGGGACGGGGGAAGATTTGAACTCTGGGCCTGGGTGCTGTCCCTCAGCTCTTCAGCTCAAGGCTAGCACTCTACCACTTGTGCCACAGTGCTACTTCTGGTTTTCTGGTAGTTAGATGGAGATGAGTCTAATGGACTTTCCTTCCCTGGGCTGGCTTTGAGCTGTGATCCTCAGATCTCAGCCTCCTGAGTAGCTAGGATTACAGGTATGAGCCACTGGTGCCTTATCGTCATCCGTCAGATAAAATGTTCCAGCTTAGAAAGATCAAATGGCCTGAGCAAGATCACAAGGCAGTAAACAGTAAAAAGCTGGCGTTCCCACTGAGGTCCATTTGCTTTTCTCTCCATCCTCACGTCTGTATCAGGAGGGGATGTCAAGGACCTCCCAAGTACACCTAAGCAGTATCTGTACCAAATGACAGCTGATGTTAGACACAGGAATATTTAGCCTCTGCCACCTGTTGGCACTCATAGCCTTGGGACATAACCTGTAAGAAACACCTCCAAGTGAACAGCCAAGTATCTGTCTGTAGGATCCTGGTGGTACAGATGAGCTCTCTGTACAGTGGAGCTGGAGGCCACATAGCAAAGAACAATTGTCTGAATGGAGAATCCATATGAAAACATCTCCAGGATATAGTAATGAAAAAGACAGTCTTGGACTTAGTGGTTCATGCCTGTATTCCTAGCTATTTGGGAAGCACAGGTAGGAAGACTGTAGTCAAGGCTAGTCCCAGGCAAATGCTTAAGGCCTTATTACAAAAATAACTAAGAGCAAAGAAAGATTTAGGGTTTTGGCTCAAATGGTAGAGCACCTACCTAGCAAGTGAGGCCCTAAGTGAAAGGAAGGAAAGATGCTGAGCATTGTACGTGGTACATTTTGTGAGAAAACAAAAGGGAGGAGGATGTTTTGCAAACTTGAATCTGCTTTTACTTGCAGAAGGGAAGATTGAAAAGTTGTGTGAAAGTTGGATCGGGACAGAAATGACATTGCTCAGTTTATACTATTAATTATTAAATATCCACAAGAAGTCACAAAAATAGTACAGAGAGAAATCTCTGTGCCCTTATCCTAGCTTTCTCCATGGTAACATCATCCTAACTAAAACCAGAAAAGTGACATGCTACAGAGCTCATTTTCAAATTTTACATGCACTCATTTGTGCAATTTTATCCATGTAGATTATTGTGACCACCACTATAGTCATATCCAAACCCATTCCACCAGCACAGACTCCCATTACTACTCTTTTGCAATCACATCTTCTTCCCCCTCCCCCATCCTCCCTACCTCTGCCTACCCTCCAGCAACTGTCCATCTTCAACCCTTTCTCATAATTTGACCTATTGAGACTGTTAACATAAACAGAGTCATAGAGACCACAATTCCCTTGAGCCTCATCATGATGTCATTCCAGAGTCTGGATAGCCATTCTGGCAATCACTCACCAAAGGACATGGGTGATTGCTAGTATTTTGCTATTGCAAATAAAGCTATTATAAACATTCATGTATGTTTTTGTGTGGACCAATGTTAATTTTTTTCTTTTTTGAGACAGGGTCTGGCTATATAGTCCAGACTGGCCTCAAGTTCACAATCCTGCCTCAGCTTCCTAATTTTTTCCCCCCAGGTAAGCCTAGGCTACCTAGCCAGACCCTGTCTCAAAAGAACAAAAATCTGCCCCAAATATTTCAGAGTAGCATTTTTTTAAACACATAATTAAAACCAAACTGCCACAAGCAAATCAAGAATGTTACTGTTGGTGACTTGACAGTGGTTTTTTTTTTTTTTTTTTGGTCAGTCATGGGGCTTGAACTCTGGGTCTAGGTGCTGTCCCTCAGCTCTTCATCTCAAGGCAAGCACTCTACTACTTGAGCCACAGCACTACTTCTGGTTTTCTGGTGGTTAACTGGAGATAAGAGTCTCACAGACTTTCCTGCCCAGGCTGGCTTTGAACCACAATCCTCAGGTCTCAACCTCCTGACTAGCTTGGATTATAGGCCTGAGCCACTGGCACCTGGCTTCTGACAGTGTTCTTAAGCACAGGCCAGTACATGGGTCTGGTTTGGCCTGGGTGAGCAAGGCCATGTTCACCCCCAACTCTCTCTTCCCCCAGGTGTGGTGCAGATAGTGGAGGTGATCCTCAATGTGATGGTTCTCATATGTATCGTGGCCTCCTACTTTGTGCTCGCAGGATTCAGCGCCAGCTTTGCCAGCGGTGGTGGCTTTGGGAACAACTATTACTCACCATTTGAGGGCACAGAGCTGGAGCAGGTTCGGCAGCTGGACCAACAGTACACAGTCCTCCGGTCACCTCTGATATATGGTGGTGTGGCTGTGTCTTTGGGTCTGGGGGTCCTCACCATGAGTGTTTTACTCCAAGGAGCCAAGAATCTAGCAAAACTGCCGAGGAAGTGGCTCCTCACAGAGGCTACCTTCAGCCTCCTGGCCTCAGTGGGCTACTGCGTAGGCATCGGTGTTTACCTCCACGTGGCTTTGCAGATCAATGCCACAGACACTTGCAAAACAAGAGAGAGGCTCTACGCCCGCAAAGGCCTCACCTGGATGAACTGCCAGCTGGCTGGCACTGATGGTGCAGCAGCTACCTTTGCTTGTCTTCTGGTGATTATGTATGGTGCCAGCGTGGTGCTGGCCTTGAGAAGCTACCGAGAACAGAAGCTCTACAAAGACAGCCAAGAACAGCATAGAAATTACAGTGACACACCAGAATACCTGTGGTCTGGGACACTCTAAGGAGATCTAAAAATGTATCGGCTCATCCCCATCATTTCCTTCAAAAAGACAGGTTCTTTGCAAGCACACAGTGGACCACTTTGGGTTTCACATAATTGATTTTTTTTAAGTGCTCTCTTTGCTTTGTTACCTATGGAGAATTAAGTGATTGTCTCATTTTTCTCTTGGAAAAGATCAGTAAGTCGTTGTTGGCCAACTCAATGAGAGCTTGAAAAAACTATAACCATCTTTAATGCAAAGAGCAACAGTAGCCTAGGTTCACCCTATTGTAGGGCTCTCCTGACCTGTAACAATTGAAGTAGCTAGTTAACCTTAGAAATTCTAAAAGTGAGACCTATACATCAGAGGGTAGCAGATCCAGTGTTATGGTAGAAATGTTACCCATCTTCACTATCTATAATGTCATAAAAAAATGCTATCAGAACTCAGGACCTCTCATTCTTATCCCACTTTTTTTTTTTTTTTGTCAGTCATGGGGCTTGAACTCTGGGCCTGGGCACTGTCCCTCAGCTCTTCAGCTCAAGGCTAGTGTTCTACCACTTGAGCCACAGCGCCATTCTGGTTTTCTGGTGATTTATTGGAGATAGATAAGAGTTTCACAGCCTTTCCTGCCTGGACTGGCTTTGAACCATGATCCTCAGATCTTAGCCTCCTGAGTAACTAACATTACAGGCATGAACTACCGGCACCTGCCCTTATTTAGCTTTTGTTTTGCTTATGACTGGTAATCTACTACTCTCGCCATGCCGCCAGTCTACCTTTTTGCCGGTTATTATGAAGAGTCTCATAGATGTTTCTGCTAGGGCTGACTTTGAACTGTGATCCTCCAGGTCTCAGCTTCCTGAGTAGCTAGGATTAGAGGCATGGATTCTAAATGCATCATAGTATTTTCTCCCTCCAAGAGGGGCAGTACTCGCCACTGGGGAGGTGTCTACCATGGACATGGTAGCTGCGTGCTTCCAAGCAGACCTCTTCCTTAAGAGATGAAGTTGGGAGGCTGGGAAGGTAGCTCAGTGGTAGAGCGCTCGCCTTGCATGCTTGAGGCCCTAGGTTCGATTCCTCAGCACCACATAAGCAAAATGAAAAAAGCCGGAAGTGGCGCTATGGCTCAAGTGGTAGAGCGCTAGCCTTGAGCTGAAGAGCTGAGGGACAGCGCCCAGGCCCAGAGTTCAGGCCCCACAACTGGATCAAAAAAAAAAAAAAGAGATGAAGTTGGGTTCCTGGCAAAGGAAAAGAGATGCTTTACCAAACCCCAGACTTCCTGCCAGCTGTTCCAGGTTAGTTTCCCTGTACGGCAAGACATTCCATAGGAACTGAGTCTTGAAATAGTTTATAATTTTTTTTAAAATATACAATGCTTCTAAACAGTGAGAAAATTCATACTAATAGTGAGAAAATTCGCATCTTAAATATATCAATGCAACTGGTTTCAAAGATAAAACAGTTAATTTTACTAGACAACACAGGCTTATCAGAGGCCTCTTTATTTCTGAATTTGCTGACAGGTGCCACAGAGAAAGCCTTCAAAGATAGTTGGTGGCTGGTCGGTGCCCTAAACTGTCTTCAAAATGTAACAGATCTCTAACTTTTAGCCTTGAAAATAAAATTCTTTAAGTAATTTTAATCTCAAATACTTTATAATTACCTGCTGTTATACCTTACAACTGGTCTCCAATATACTGGGTCATGTCAGTTCAATTACAAATAACACATTCTTGTTATGCAGTCCTTTTTTCTAACAGGTCTCTTTTAATAGCTAATTCATACTTGTAAGAAACAAAGGGTCAAAGGTAAATCTGGAAGAACCTGGAAAAGAAAGCATGTGGAGAAAATAAACACCTAGAATCTATATTGCTTGGCTGAAATAAATGTTATGCTGCAGGAATGTGCAGCCATGATGTCAAAGTTGACCTGAAGCAATGTGGCTAATTGTCCCACGCAAGGTTCACTGAGTGGTAGAGAAGTGTAACAACAAAAATCAAATGCACACTTCAAAGACAACACCCTACACTATGCACTGGTGCCTCATGCCTGTAATCCTAGCTACTCAGGAGGCTGAGATCTAAAGATCCTGGTTCAAAGCCAGCCCAGGCAAGAATGTCCATGGGACTCTTATCTCCAATTAACCACCAGAAGACGGGAAGTGGTGCTGTAGCTCAAGTGGCAGAGCGCTAGCCTTGAGCTGATGAGCTGAGGGACAGCACTCAGGTCGAGTTCGAGCCCATGACCAACCACAACAACAAAAGACAGCACCCAAACATGCACTATTCTCTCCAAATACTTATTCCCTGCAACATCCCTACTATATCCCTATCCACATCAAGTCCTGTGCTGGATTAAATAAGGACTTTGGCCTGTCTGACCCATATTCCTCCTGACATGACAGTGGGTGGCAGCAACTCTGCCACATGTCCATTTACAGTGTTCAAAATGTTTAAGCTAACTTGATCTGTTCTAGTATCAGCAGGCAAGCAGGCCAAGACTTGTTATTCACATGTTACAGATGAGAAAACAAAGATCAGGTTAAGAAGTCTAGTCTATAGTTCACACTTCTCATTGAAGGCTTATTATGGTGCCAAATACATGACTGTGCTAAAGAAGCAATTTGTACCACTTGGGTCACTGGAGCGTGCCCTGCCCTTGCCAAGTAGTTCTCACAGAAGAACTCTCAGGAGGGGAGTGTTACAAATCTGAGCGTGGCCCAGCCAGCTCTGAGCTTCTGGTTGGATATGTAATTATTTGCTCTAAAACATGCTTCCACTGTTGCTATCCACTATGATGTGACATGGCTAAGAATGGAGCCCAGGCCAGGGCCAGCCCTTGAACCTCTGAAGCTGTGAGCTAAATAAGCCTCTTCACAAGGAGACTGCCCTGGGTATTTTGTTCCAGTGACACACAGCTAACACAAAAGCGATGAAAAATATTTATTTGTGCCTTATAAGACTCACAAGTTCATAAGATGTTATGTAATGTTTTCACATTATTATTCTTATTTATCTTTCTTTAAAGCAAAGAAAAAGTAGAAAAATCCTAAACTTTTGGTTAAGAACCTAATTTTACATACAAGTTAGGGAAAAAAATGTAGCTTCCCACTAAAATAAAGTATAAAATGACAAGTATTCTGTTTTAAAACAAAAGCAGAGAAAGATATTCCATTTTATTATATTTATTATTATTGTTATTTATTACAAACAATAGATTTGCTGCAACATGCTCTGGCTCATATTATTGAATTAAAAAATTTAACACATTTCAAAAATATCAAAAATACACTATAATGAGTCTTAGGACTACAATACGACAATGATTGCACAAAACCTTAAGATATGAGCCCACTGTCTGGATGACATCCATTGGCAACAGTGAGAGAAAACCTTATAGCATTTGGGAGAGGTGTGTGAGATTTAGAATACAAGGAGCTTATGCTGATTGGCTGATCACCAAATGAGGGAACAGAACAGGTTTGACCAAAGCTGCTTTTCTCAATCTAGGAAGTGCTCACCCAACCACAGGGCAGTCACTAACTGGAGAGAAAGATTAATTTGCCCCCATGACTGGGGAGTCTGGAAGGCTCCACCCAGAGGGAAGCAAAAAATGACACAAGACAGTTCTACAGTGATGCTGCAGACATCACCAAATGGCTTGGAGACTAATTTTCAGGAATTGGTACATGTATCAGTAACAGCCAAGTGCTCCCTATGGAGGTCTCTTCATTAGTCATTATTGAATAGATAGAGAAGGTGAGCCTGTGGCTTTTCCAAGTACCTGCTTTTGCCAAAGGTCTACATGGAAAGCAGAGCATCAATTGAGAGTCAGTAGATTGGCCAAACCTAACTGGCTCCATCTCCTGGAAAACAGCACTCGCTACAAACAATTGTAATAGCACCCTGTGATTACCAAGTTGTTCACGTTTGCTCTTCTGTATGCCAGGAGAATGAATTCACAGACTTATTGCACACGTACATTCTACAGTAGTATAATAAAGCCTTCAGTTGTGTCAGGAGTAGTAATTCAATGACTTGACTCTTAATAGTAGCACAGTAGCTTTATATCATACCAACATTCAAATTTTGTGTGTGTGTGTGTGTGGTGTGTGTGTATCTCCTTTGGATAAACTAAGAATATCTTGGCTTTCACACCACACGTACTTCCCTTTCCCTGTGGGACTCCTGAACTGTACCCATAAGTAGGAATGTTCTTCTTCTGGAAATTCTCTTTAATTTCTCTATGAAGTGGGAGGTACACACAGAGACCCAGGAATCATGCTGATGTCAAGGACCTCTGTACTCTGCCCACCTGGAGAACACATCCACTGGGGCAAAGTACTGGGAAGATCTCCTTTACTTGGCCTTCACTGACAGCCCACTCAGGTACCATGTCTGCCAAGTACCTTATAGGACAAAAGAGATGTGTAGGTAATGGACTGTGGCCTTTTTACCCTCTGTCTTAATTCAGAGCAACTGTAGAAGGACACAAATGAGAAGAAATTTCAAAAATATAGAACCAATTTTGGTAAAGCCTATATTAAGGTTTTCAATACAATGTAATGATTTCTGAAAATAACCACATTTGGAATTTCAGAGTTCTGCTGACCAATATGTAATATACGTGTATATATTGGTGCAGGTCCTGGGGCTTGACTCACGGCTGTCCCTGAGCTTTTTGTTTTTTGCTCAAGGCTAGTGCTCTACCACTTGAGTCACAGCTCCACTTCTGGCTTTTTTGGTGGTTAATTAGAAATAAGAGTCTCATGGGCTTTCTTGCCCATACTGCCTTCAAACTGTGGACTTTAGATCTCAGCCTCTTGAGTAGCAAGGATTAAAGGCATGAGCCACTGGCACCTAGCAAATACTTTTTACAAGGCCATGTCAGAATTAGATTTTGAGGGGGCTCCAATAAGTAATGTGGGAAACAAGTAGAAGTCAAGAAAAGGGTTCACAGATAAAGGACTTTTTTTTCCCATCGTGGGGCTTGAACTCAGGGCTTGGGCACTGTCCCTGAGCTTCTTTGCTCAAGGCTAACACTCTACTACTTGAGCCACTGCCCTACTTCCGGCTTTTTCTGTGTATGTGGTACTGAGCAATTGAACCCAGGGCTTCATGCATGCTAGGTAAGCACTCTACCGCTAAACCACATTCCCAGCCCCTAAAGGACAATTTTAAAAAGACTATATACTATTAAAGTGGTACTTTTCCAAAATAATTTTGATGCCTTTATATATCACTATTCTATACCCAAAGGTTCTGCTGTCTGAGTAGGAAAATGTTTTACATCATTCATCTTTATCATCTTGGGTTTTTCCTTCATTTTTTTCTGCTTTTTTCCCATATAAAAATAAGGTGGCAACACACCACTGTCCCATCTAACAGAATCTACACTATATATGAACCACCATGTTCCCCACTTCAAATCAAAAACCTGAGTTCTAACAGTTTTCAGTAGCTGACCAGTAGTTTGGCAGAAGGAAGTCAAATGTCCCTAACTCATTGGAGCTCAGATACACAGGAGGCTGAACACTGGGGAGTCACTGGAGTAAGATGAGTCTTCCAGGATCCACCCCACTGATACATGCATATGGGCACAGGGCCTGGGAAAGGATGAAGACAGAACTATTGTGGACAGTTACCTGGTTTTCAACTATTGCTCTAAACAAAAACTCCCCCCCCCAAAACCAAAAAGGAATAAATATATGTTTCCAACTTACATTTAACATGTTGTTTCAAATGAAACAAATTAAAAATTGTCCCATTCTATTTTCTCTTCAATTGCAAAATGTTCCAAAACATCATAGCACATTTCCTATTGGATAAAATCAAGTGATGCTAAAATTTATATGAAGAAATAGGAATTAATTTTCCTAAGTAAACTTTTTAATTAATAAAGCAACAGAATATGGAAGGAATTGCATTTTACTAGGGCTATGTGGAATATGCAAAACAAAACAGGATTTCTGTAAGCTTAGGAATTTCTCAATTGAATCTTTCTTATATTGGTATTGAGCCCATTACTTTGAAACAATGTTTTGAATCAGCAATGTTCAGAACAGTCCACTGTCAAATGTTAGCTCTTGAGAAAGAGAAGGACCAAGTCTAATATGTGAGCTCCACCCACCCATCTGTCCTCAGTCAGCCTCCATCTGTTTCACAGCCATCTAGAGTAACTTAAGGTGACTTGAATGCCTGCAGTGTCAGCCTTGGCCCTACCTGGAAGGTAGGCTGACTGCCATCAGTAAGCTAACTGCCAACTCTACCACATGTTTGGGAAAGAAACTAATTCCCAAGTGCCTCACTTCATCTGCTGGGACCACAATTCCTAGCAGATATCATATTCATCAAGGAGTGATTCTCTTTCTGACTGGGAGAAGTAGTCTTAAGTTCTCACTTCTTTCCTGTCTTCATCCCCCAAAGAAGACCATCCTCCTATCCCAAGTTTTTTAGGAGCTTTCACAGTCTGACATCCAACAGTTACAATGATTTCCATGGCTCTTCCAAGTACCCCCAGAGAAGGCTCCAACACCCAAATATGTCTGCCTATGGATAAAGGTGCTGGACTGCTTCTAAGAAGATTGGCTCGAGTGCAGATTCAAAAATAAAAAGTTCACAGTCAATGAAAAGTGCTCTTGTTACATTTCATACATAAATTATCTGTTTGATCAGTTCTATACCTCCAATAAACATCATTTTGAGGCTATATTCTCGTAGAGAAGAAAGAAAAGCCATGTGACTAGTCACATCATACCCCCTTAGTTAGTCTGAGAGATAAGGTGATTTCTCTGTCACAGAGATCCATCAGCAGCAACTAGTAAAAGGAATCAACCTTCAATTATTTCCTCCACAAAAATAGTCCCTTTCCTGCCCAGGCAGGCAAATTTTGAAAATGATCCTAGGAAAGAAAGGGTTAATGGCAGGTGGCAGGACTGATAGAGAACATCTGCTTTTCTCCCAGTAATTGGGAATTACAATGTGGTTAAACATGAAACTTAACACTGATGGCAGTTCCGGCTCATCTAGAGCCAGTCCCTGATAGCTCTTACCTTTTTTGGCTCCAAATTCGACCCCACACATCCATGGTTAGAAATACCGAGGCCAAGTGCCTCCCGCAGGTCCCTTCCCTAACACTGTTTCACAGCCTACCCTCACATTGTGCCCGTTAAGGGCAGAATCACAGCGCCGTGTCAAACTCCTCTGGGAGCTCGGTCCGATCCTCTTCACTGGGCTCAGGCTCAGGCCTGCCTTCGTGCTGCTGTTTCATTTGCTCCTTCACTTCTTCTTCCAAGTCACGAGGTACAACAAACTGATCCTCTGGTTCCAACTGAGTAGGGGCAGCAAAATAGCCTGTTTTCCTCTTGGGGGCTTCAGTGGCCACTTCAATGAGGTTCAGGCTGTCCTCAAGGGGCACAATGGAGCCATTGGAGAGCTTCTTTCCATAGAGGCAGGAAGTGGAGGGGGACTTCTGTAACTCCATCTTGTCCCTGCTCATTGGCAAAAGTATGCCACTATTCACACTGTTCTGTCTCCGGATCCCCAAACACAACCCTCTAGCATGTTCTTCAGGACACGGGATAGAAGAATTCTCTGGAAAAGTAGGAGGATTCTCAAAATCTCTTCCTCGGCAGCAGTGAATATCTACTTCTACTTCTACCTTGCTGCCATTAGTAATGACCCCTTCAACAGGTTGGTCATCATCACTGTCCAGGCCATTATCTGACTGATTACTAGAGAAGGTCGCACAAGAAGGCTGGCGCTGAAAAATCCCAGAGGTGGGTGTTGGGTGGAGGCTACAGCGCCTCTCTGGTCGTGGAAGCAAGCCAGCCTCCAGGCCCATAGTGTTATGTTCATCAGAAGCAGTGGAGCCCACTTCACTGCTCACCTCAGAGGTGGACATTTCACTGCTGAATTCCGAGGCAATACCACTACTAGAGGAAGGAGTGGTGGGCTTAGGGGCATCCTTGATGGTGGTGGTTGAAGCAAATCCCACAGGACCTGGGAGGGTGAGCCCATTCATTTCACAAGTGCAGCCTTCCTCACCAATGTTCAGATAAACCACCATGGCCCCCACGTTATCCTGACAACCATAGCTCTGTGCTAATGTGCACAGCTTCTTAGCAGCTGCTAAGGGGTCTTGCACATGACGTACTGCATTGACAGCTTCTGTATATGATAAGTGTTCCCACAATGCTTTGTTTCCCAGAATTAATAATTCATCTTGAATGGTGAGTGGAGTGGAAGATATGTGGGGCTTGGGGAGGATCCAAGGGTAGAGGTATGTGCAGCCTAGCATCCGGGTACAGTAAGTCACCCCATTCACTTTGTTGTCCTAGAGACAAATAGAATACAAATTTTGAGAAATAAGCAACAATGACATGTAATTTTCTATCATTCTAGATCACAATGTATAGAGATCTATAATACAATAGTATATATTATATGTTTTGTCCTAGGAACAGTTTAAGTAGACTTACATAAATAAATGTAGAGAATTCTAAAATGACAAAATATCATATGGTTATTATACTGAATAGTTCAGAGGAAAATGAAATCAGGGTGACTAACTGGAAGGACCATTTCAAAAGACCTTCTAACAAGAAGGATGGGCCTCAGCATGGCCTTAAATAAAGAAATGTGTCTGAGAAACAAGAAGAACTGTCAGTAATTCTACATCAGTACATTCAGAGAGGCCAAAATTCAGGTCACTAAAAATGATTTCTTGGCCAGGCGCCAGTGGCTCTCACCTCTAATCCTAGCTACTCAGGAGGCTGAGAGCTGAGGGTCATGGTCCAAAGCCAGCCTGGGCAGGAAAGTACATGAGACTCTTATCTCCAATAAACTACTCAGAAAACCGGAAGTGGCACAGTGCTCAACTGGTAGAGCACTGGCCTTGAGCTGAAAAGCTAAGAGACAGCATTCAAGCCCAAAGTTCAAGCTCCATGACCGACAAAAAATAAATAAATAAATAAATTCTTATTTTAAAAGGCACCAATAGGACTGAAAAGACTTAAATGGTTAAGAAAATCTTAAAATATTAAATAATATTTGTTTTTGGTCTACAGAGGAAGAAGCTAACATCTATTGCATGATTGATCTACTCTGTAGAGACTTTAGCAAAAATGAGTAACAGATCAAATAGGACCCATATGCTTCTAAACTTAGAGGACAGTCACCTAATCCTATGGATGACAATTGGAAATGTTTGTATACTGACACTTTTATATTGATTTCTCTTTGGGAAATAAAACAGATGCTTTACACATACTAACAAACTAATTTCAAAGTTGCAGTTGCTCTCTGGATAAAAATTCTGTTTTCTCATTTACCAGAATTGGTCACAAACTGTAAGTTTTATTTTCTTCATCAGTAAAATATAGATATTTCTTTCATGGAGGTTATTAATAAAAGTATGAAAGTACTACACATAGCAAATAGGCAAACAAAGATTTCTGTGGCTAAAATAACATAAAAGTTGGGTGCTGGTAGTTCAACTCTCTAATCCTACTCAGGAAGAGGATGGCAGTTCAAAGCCAGTCCAATCAGAAAAGTGAAGCTGTGGTTCAAGTAGCAGAACACCAGCCTTGAGGGAAAAAAACAAGAGAAAACTTGAGGCCCTGAGTTCAAGCCCCAATGCTTACACACACACAAAAGTCCCTATTTGTCTAGAGCTCCCGAAGAAAAACTAAACATTGTCTAAATTTTGTAAAAAACAAAAAAAAAACCAGTCTGGTCAAACAAAAAGATGTCTTCTACCTTCTATTTCTTTTGACTAAAAGACTGGTTTTACAGTAGGAAAAGAACAGTCTTTAACAAATGGTACTGGAACAAATAGATATACATGAAAAAAATCTAGACATAGAGCTTATACTTTTTACAAAAACCAATTCAAAACTGTCATAAACTTAAATGTAAAACTCAGAATGGCCAAACGTGTACGACATCACTTGAGGGTATGGATGGATGGGGAACGATGGGGGAGAATGTTGAGGGAGAATGATGGAATGCATTGACTCATAATCTGATTTGTTGAATTGAAACCCTTTTATATAACTACCTAAAGATAATAATTTTTAAAAATGAAAAACAAAACAGAAAATATGAGCAAACTTGGGTTTGGCAATGTGTTTTTAGATACAACACCAAAAACACAATCCACGAAAGAAAAAAAAAAGGATAAATGGGATGTCATTAAAACTAAAAACTGTCCTGCAAGAGATGCTATTAGAGGAATAGAAAGATAAGGCCCAGGCTCAGGGGAAAAATACAGAATACTCATAACAAAACAGTAAAAATCCAATTTAAAATGGTCAAGAAATATGAACATAATTTTTGTAATGAACAATGTTCATATTGTAAAGCTGCCAACCTTACACACATATAATTATATGTCACCAGGCACTGGTGGCTCACACTGGTAATCCTAGCTACTCAGGAAACTGAGATCTAAGGATAGTGGTTCAAAGCTAGCTGAGGCATGAAAGTCTGTAAGATTTTTTTTTTAATTTTTTTTTGGGTCCGGTCGTGGGCCTGGGCCTGGGCGCTGTCCCTCAGCTCTTCAGCTCAAGGCTAGCGCTCTACCACTTGAGCCACAGCGCCACTTCCAACTTTTTTCTTTTTGCTTATGTGGTGCTGAGGAATCGAACCCAGAGCCTCATGCATTCAAGGCAAGCACTCTACCACTGAGCCACCTTTCCAGCCCCTGTAAGATTCTTTTTTTGGGGGGGGAGGGGTACGGTCGTGGGGCCTGAACTCTGGGCCTGGGCACTGTCCCTCAGCTCTTCAGCTCAAGGCTAGCACTCTACCACTTGAGCCACAGTGCCACTTCCAG